ATGGCTACAGAAGTAATAAGAAGTAGCGAAAAATAAAAAGGTGTAGAGGTGATAGTGGTTAAAAAAATGGCTATTTCTTAATAATGCCTCTCATGATAAATGAAGAGTTCATTGCATAAATCTTCAGGTAACCACCAGTGGTGTTCCTTGCATTGTGTGAATATGGTATTCAATTTCTTGAACATCTTGTTCTATTTTTTAGTATTAATCTCATTACAATGCTATTATCCAACACCTTTCTTTGCTTTGAACAGGTTTTAATTAACAGGGCTCTTGAGATATTCAGAATATTTAGGAATTGTGTGTGTATTATTCTTTGCAAGTATTCTGGAATCTCAGTATTGCAAATCTAAGTATAGTTTTGAAAAAATGGTCTCATTGCTCAGTGTGTCATGGAGGGACTTTTAAACTCCTTATACCTCTACTGTTCTTGGTATTTGGCTTGAAATTGACTATCTGTGCCATAGAGCCTTATTTCTGGTTCTGGCTCATGCCAGTTGTACTGGGTCTAGGCAAGAGTTCTGTCACGTCTTTATTGCTAAGTTTCCAGAATTTCATATTGCCAGCTTCTGAGGGGCCTGATGTTCATAAGTGCTGTTGCTAGGCCTATTTTGTGTTTGGTGGGAAAGCACTGTGCATTTATATGGGAAAAGTTCTGGTTCTGAAATCTATCACAAGGACATATCGTAAATGAATAAAGATGTATTTTTTCTTGAAGATAAAAAAAATGCTTGTTTTCAGAAAACATCTTTCTTTGCATAAAGAGGGCTCCCCAGTCAGGAACTTTAACATCAGAATACGTAGAAATTATTCCCCTTAAGTATATTTGCTCTGTTTAATTTCTCCTAGCTCATGAATCAAATAATTATTTTCCTGATTAAACAAATAGCTCATCCTATTTCAGTAAGTGCATATTGGCAATATCAGATGGAAGATTTATTTAAATACCTCCTGACTGGGGCATCCGAGTTGTACTGATGGGGAGCCAAGTTCAGGAAGCTCACTGAGGCATCCCAGGCATGCAGAGAGGATGCCAAGCCTGGAATGGCAGAAGAACAAACAGGATAATGCTTTTATCATCAGCTAAGTCTACCAATCATAGCTTTTTGATCCATGAAGTAGGAAGAACTTGGACTGAGAGTAGTAAAGTAGCTTGATAAAGTGTGTATATTTCCTGGCTTCCAGAATGACCTCAGAATTGATTCAGAAATGTTATTTCTAACTTTACTCTGCTTCTTTGTTTGCTACTAGCAATGTGAAAAATATGGTTCTCAGAACAGGGATACTAACTTAGTTGATGCTGGGGTACTTATTTAGCTCACCAAACTATGGTTAAATTCATTCTTACTAAATGTCAATTGCTTATTCAGTTACCTGCTGAGCATCGACTTCACATCAATGCATCCATTTTAACTCCTAGCCTAAGTGAATCGTTCCTTTCTAATTCAATTAGTCTTGCTCACTGGTTTAACAGTCTACAAGGTTAATGTATTAATGTTTTCATGGAATGATGCCAATCACTCCTAAACTTTGCTTGAAAAACCACTGGAGATAAGTGAAAGCAAGCTTGAAGAATTTGAATATGTTAGAAGTACATTTTTAATGGATGTAAGTCCATGCATTGTCTCCTGTGCTGCTGGGCTTATCTAACTGAGCAATAGTTGGGTTTACTAATCCATACCACAAGGAAAGAATTGTCTCTGTAGCAACTGTTGGTTCAGTTACTTAAATCACTTCTGCATGCCATTTCTATCTTGCTGTCGGTAATCACAAAGTCTGAGACAGTTCACCTTCTGTCTCATTTACAGATGCAGGACATTTTCTTTACTGTTGTCTCTTTTATTATTGTTAGTGGATTTAACAGTGACTTTCAGCGTCTGGTAAAGGAAAGTGCAATGGGATGGGCACTATCTTGTTCATCCATTATAGAAGAGAGGGATCATAGTTCTGAGGTTAAAAAAAGGGGGAGAAGAAGCAACAGAAATCATATTCTTCAATTTTTTTTTTTTTTGGTTGGCTCTTTCTCAGCATCTGTCTCTCCCAGCCGGGGTCTCCAGCCTCCCGTGAGCCAGATTCAGTAATGGACGTGTCACTCACATTTCCTTTAGTCCAGTAGCAAGAATGTTCTCCAAAACATCTGTGTAATCGTTTGCAGTTGTGAATGTCCTTTCCACAGCTGTTCCCCTGTTCCCTGCAATGCAGTTGCTGCTGCAGGGGCTTGCTAACCAGAGGTTAGAAAAGCAATGTATTTCAGGAGCTAGAATATTCCAAACAAGCTTACCTAGGTATGGCCAAATTTTCCATTTGGAATTTTGTACCCATAATAACCTTTTTTTCTCCTAAAACTGGAAAAGGAGAAGTCTCCATCTCTTTTTCCCTTTTTATCTAACTGTTTTCCTTCCTTTATTCTTTCTCTGGGGCAAATGCAGGACAAAAAATTGGAGAGAAGAGCAAAAAACAAAATCCAAATCAGTTCAAGTGTATAATTGAATAGGAAAGTCTGACATTAGCATTGCATGATGCATGCCGTTGTTGCTAGAGGAAGTTTGGCAGAGTGCGGAAGCACACATATTGGGTGTTGGGTGTTTTTGCCATGCATATTCTTGCCAGTCTTGGTGATGTTTTAGAGTCCTTGCCATGCTCTACAGTCTCAACGAGAAGGTTAAAAACCTGAAATTGTGTAAAGCTGAAGGACTTTAAGATGGCTCTTTTCTTTAGTAGCTGAAAGAAAGCATGGCTGTATGATATGAATGAGCTAGCTGAGGTCATGGGTCTGGTCATAAGAGTGCTTGTTTAGAAGTGAATTTTGCAGAATTAGTTGACTGTCTTCTCTTAAAGGTGAAGGTATTGATGTGGCATTTCCTAACCAGTTGTGTAACCTGAATCCCCTCACTCCTTCACCAGGCCCTCTCCCTCTCCACCAAAAAGAAAAATAAAAATAAGCAAACAAAACCCATGATTTTTTGTGTGGTCTGTAGTGCATCCAGGTCAATTTTTGAGAAAGGTGTTTTGAATAGATGTAGTATACGTGTAGAAACATTTTTATAAAAATGTCATTCTACTCAAATTCAGGCTGGAAAGATTAGCACTGTAATCATTTCACATTCGCATAAGTAACTGAAAATCTTTCTTTATTCTGTTTGGCTTTTTTAAATAACACAGGCTTAAGCGAGGAGATCTAAGGAGGACTGTGAATGAGTAAATATAATGGATAAGCATAACTTGGTTAAGATAAAGACAAACAGACACATTCCGATCTTTTTTTTTTTCATAACCTTCCCCTAACATCTTTCTCAAATTCTTGCTTGGTGTCTGCATACATACGCATAGGATAAAAATCAATGTGCAATTTCATTACTTTTGATTTTTCTAGCTTGGTACATTTAGGTGAATTTGTTTCCATGAGAACTGATTGCTGAGGAAATCATTCAGCTTGCATTTTACAAGACTGATCAATGAACTCTGGATTTTGTTGCAGGAAAAATAGTCTACGTTGACTGAGTAGAGGGTTTACAAAACGAACGTTCAGGGACACACCAAAAAGACCTTTGTCTCCTTTTATTGCTGATGAGGATTACCTTACAACTTAACCAACATCCTGAGAAGAAGTCATACAGGGTGGATCTGGCAGGGTAATTTCTGAGGAATGCAGGTCCCCTATTTTGTCTACCTAAACACAGCATATGTTGGAGCTGCAATACTTTTCTGTGTATCCGTTCAAGGATATCAGTTCTACGAAACGGCTATAGCTTAACATTATTATCCATAACTTTGGATGGACTTCAGATTTCAAAAAACTACCAAAATATTAGAAATGGTAAAAACTGAATGTCAAATATTTTTTAATGAATATTTTTTTCTTGTTGCATTTGACTTTTGGCTGCTCGTGGTCATTCACTGTTTTGCCTTGTGAATCAGCCAGAGAAAGTTTAAAAGCATGAGGAAGACTTCATCTTCCAAGCTTTTTGCTTTAGGATCTGCCCCATCGACTTATAATGATGTAAAAACATCCTGAGAATGCCCAAGCCAACTCAACTTTCATAAAGGATACACTGGACAGTGGGTGTTTCAGACTTTGGCTTTTATTGTTTCAGAGTATAAAGCTGGCATGCAATTTCTGTACAAGAGTTACCTATATCTGCTTCCTTCAATAGGTAGCTTCCTTTAGAATTTCTTGAAGTATGAAGTAGGTATTTTTATCAGACACTGTACTACCAGAGCACAAGCTAGAGGTGATAATTACTGATTAATGACAGTGTACAGACTTCTATCAAAATGTAAGTTTGGAAACAAAAAGAATAATAAATATGATTGTAACGTGACCCGTAGATCAAAGATCTATATGCACTTTCTAACTTTTGAATTTCATTTGTAAAAATGTATGTATTTATACACGCATACAATTTCAGAGATTGTAATGATGTCAGTTTAAAGGACAGCAAAAAAAAGTCTAGTATTTTAATGTAATGTTGACAAGTAAATATTTTGAAAGTGTATATTAATCACCAGCAATTTTCAGTACAAGTGTGGATTTTCTGAAGTTTGCATTATTGTTGATTATAGACTCTAGTACATATCTAGTTTTAATGGTCCTCATCCTCGGAAATAATTGACAGTAATAAGTTACTAAAATCATCATAGAATACTAGAAAATAAGGAATAAATTTAAAACAACAGCACTACAGATGTCTTTATTTTTCAGGAGGTACGCTGGATTCACTGTGGACTGTTATCTTCCCTTGTCACTAGAATGGAGAGGGGGATTGTGAACTATACGCAGTCCAGTAGCATCCACTGGTTAGACCATCCTGCTGGTGACTGCTGTATTTCAGATATCATGAGCAATTGGCTGTGCACCTCTGATTAAATCCATCAAACCATTTTAAAAACAGAAAATGTGCTATGCAAGTAGGGAGAATTATTGTAGCAGTGTCATGAGGTCCCAGGCTCTAGCATTTTGAAGCTGAGCCTGGCACAGCACGAACTTCTTCTGCCAGCAGGACATCCACAGTGTGCTGCCAGGATTTAGAGCTAGTCACCTCTTGCAGAGCCCTCGAGGGGACAGCACTGGAGACCGTTCCTACCAGTGATGTGACCATACTTGGGATGCTACGAAGACATGCATGTGAGTAACCTATGCTCCTCAGTGTCAGTTTATTTCTGGTTAATGTGTTGAATGTGAACCCTTTCTTGGTTGATTTCATTTCTGTGTTGAGTGTCACTAGGCAATTTTTCTAGCTTCTGTGTTTGTTTGCTAGCTTTTCAGATAGGAATTTTATCCCCTTTAACTGGAAACATTTCTGTCTTCAGCTGCTACCATGAGTTTTTATTAATGGTTTTGTGACTTAGAGTTTATTTTTCTTCATACGAAGGCATCTGAAGATGCAGAAAAATGCTTTTAGAATGTTCTAAAATGTCTGCATATCTGTCCATAGTCACGTTATCGTCACAGGCTTCTCCTTCATTTAAGTATAATGCCAGGCCCTGAACAAACTCCTTCATTCTAATCAAGCAATAGCAAGAAAGTGTCAAAATGGGGCTGCCTCCAGAGCCAGGCATGGGGGGTGGGTGGAGCGTCTGGCTAAAGAGCTCTTGCAAGTCAGAGCAGCCAGATGGACGTGAAGTCCCAGAATAGGAGGAAGCATGAGTGATCCTTAGAAGCCCCCGAAGGAGAATATGCCCTGCTGAGGCTGCTCTTTTGAAGGACTCCTTCACTAAACCACACACAGTCTGCTGCTTGGCAGTATTATGCTGGTGTCTTTATTGTCATTCTTGACAAGGTATGCCAGCAATGATGAAAAACGAGAGCTCCCTTTGATTAAAATGTTTAAATCCATGAATGCAGATGACTTTGGAAATCATTCCTGTGAGATGCTTCCACACCCTATAAAACCTCAAATAAACAAGCAGCCATAATCCAAAGAACGAACTTTCTGGATTCAAATCTCAAGTGTGTAAGGACTGCTGAGTATTGTGCCCCACAACTTGACCAAGATAAACTTCCTAAACCTTCCCCAATTAAAAGTCGGCTGTGAGGCGGGGGGAACACTTGAACTGCCAATTTGCTTTTGTTTTAGTGTGTTATTAGTATTTCCAGGTATGATCTATCATTGTCCAAGAATTATTTTCTGTCAATAGCTATCTCATCACCTCTGCAGCAGCCATGTTTCCAAGATTAAGACACTGAAAAAAACTATAAATTTTCTGTGCTGCTTCTTTATGGAGGGAGTCACATTAGAAGCAAAGCCAGAGTTGCAGGCTGAGAATATTATAAATCTTGACACTTTATGCCTTATGGAGCCCTAAGGAAGTGGCATCCAGGATTGTATTTCATAGACCCTTCATACATTTCAGCCTGTGCTTGTGTTGTACTAGAAATATATTTATGATATGACTTGAGGAATTATGTGGGTGCCAGGCTGATAGAATGGCAACAGGTAACTTTGAGAGATGAGAAGGGGGGGAAAAAAATAATGACACATCTCTAATATCTGGGATTAGAGGGTGAGGAGGAAGAAAACAGGAGGGGAGAAGGAGAAAGGAAGTAAATGCCTTTATCTAAAGCAAACCATGAAAAAAGGGAGATTTGACCTAAGTAGTAAGTGGTCTGGGATCACCTTCAGATGTTATAAGAACATCCAGGGCTTTTTTTTCCTCTAAGTTTTGCAGTCTGGAAAGGTTTGTGTCTTAGGAAGGTATTTAAAGAAAGATTACTCTCTGTTTGACGTGGTTTTAAAGGCAGTCAGTTTTAAAGTCGGCTTGACGTTCTGAATCTACCTTTCATTTCCAGTGCAATGTCTGTTGTTCACCTGGAGACAGAGAAAATATATTTTCACATTATCTATATATGGGCATACTGGTTATACAAGGAAAATGATGAATCTGACTACACCTGAAGCAAAAGGTGATGTGAAATGCAGAAAGTACATTAACTGGTATAACAGGAAAAAATCATTTTAATCACATTGACTATTATGAAGATGCCATTTGCAACAATAACGGGGTAAAAAAATGCAGAGATCAAATGATTTTTAAGTTGATGGTGTAAGGGACAATCCTATTAAAATGAAACAGGGAAAACAATGGGGTAAAAAATCTCTCACACATCTAGTTGTCTTGTCACCCATTTTAAAAAGTTGGTACGTTGAGCTCCTGGTGCTTTCTCAGTGTATTGGGAGACTGTGTCCTCATATTACCCAAGGGCCCAAACTGTGCGGTTATCAGCCCTGCTAGCAGCTTCAGACCCAGGCCAGGAAATGCATTTGCACAAACACCGAATTACTCTTTCATAGCAAGAGTTATTGTGTCCATAACCATCCCATAGTGAGGGCAATGTGCATAGGGTTGGCCCTGATGCAACCAGGCCTCTGGATAACGGAAGCCCTGTATATACTTTCACGGTATGATTCAAGATCAGGTGATGTTCCAATATGCCAGATAACTGAGTTTGTTTTTAAAGCAGTAGTCCAAAACATAATTTAAAATCTTGCTCTCTGAGAAGTAGGAGTTCATTTTAAAATAAGTTTAAAAATCAAATAATAGCTTTTCGTTAGGAAGTGTAAGTATTCCTCTGAGGTATCAACTGCATGTACACTGGGGTTAAACATCTCCATTACTGGGGTTAAACATCTCCATTTTGAGAAGTCTCACATAAAGTCTGTGTTTTTATCACTCTTTCATGTCTTTATTTGATGTTTCTTTGTCCTGTTGAGCACATACAAATCATACAATAGTACTGATGAATATTGGATCTAAGGAGCCTTACTTTATTTGGACAAATCAGAGCTGATAATATCTATAAATACTTTTAGATGCCTCCTCAGTCGTTCTTTTTTGCCCGTATGTAGTAGATTTAGCTGCTATTGTACTGTATCGATATCAGTCACTGTCTAACTTGACACGTTTTAAGGAATTTTGCAGTCATAAGTCCCTCTCGACCTAACTTATATGTTTATTCACTTTTAAGCTAATTTTTCTTCTACTCTATCGCATTAACATAAGTATTTATTGAAATTGCTAGACTGCATTTTTCTCTACTGGATTAATTTTTAAGTAATTGGTCTTTCTCTTTTATCTGCAAGTTGTGCTGGCCTCCAATATGAATGTAATATTGATGGATTGCTGCACTATGCTTTATTCATTTACATTTTTAACTGCATAGCTAGCCTATTGCTGTAATAATAATACTAATATTACTTTCATATTGCTTTTTTTTCACGGACCCCCACTCTGAAAATAAATATTCAGGATTACAGCAGCTTTTCTGTCAGCTGTTCTGTCATGAATGCTGTTCTGGTATTTTGGTGCATAGTCTTATGAACGGTCTGATATCTGACAACTTTGACTCTCTTTAAGGAAGTTTTTTTTTCCATTTTTTATTCAGATAAATCAGTCTTGACCTGGGGATTCTCTGCTGCTTAATATCTTTTTCTAGGGATAGTGTTATCATTAATGGTGGTTTTCATTAAGTCCTAGATCATTGGTTAGTTACAGAACATTGGATGAAATATACTACTTGATGGGAGTGATTTTAATTATATGATGATTGCAATTCTATCATACATCTACCTCAGGAAAATAAACTGTATAAAGAAATAAAAAGTAATAATAGTTAAAGATTCAATATGAGCTTACAGAAAATTGATTCCACTGAACTATAATACTTGGCATTTCAGTAAAATTATACACAGTTAAATTTGTTTATATTTTATTAACACAGTGATAATTAAATTTCTCTAAAACATTGTAGTTATTATCATGCAACATTTTTATTAAGAAATTGAAATGGTATGAAGGAAAGATTGAACACATTAAATAAATTGAATGTGGGTTAATTAATGTATCTCAAAACACAAGGAGGAAAGAGCCAGTAAGTAGGGGTGTTGATTGGAATGTCTGCGCTGGTTTTCTTTCAAATCACTGACAAAATCTTCACTGACAAATGTGAACATGTTACAGAATTGAAGGAAATGGTAATTAACAAAGAGGATACAGCACTCACTCAATATTATATATTTTATTACCCACATACAAGAATCCATGAGCAGGTATATGATCATACATCAGTAATAAAAAATGCAGTTCTTGCTTACAGGATCAATTACTGAGAAGTGTTTGTGAGCAGTATGAGAGATTGTAGTATACACAGCTTTAGCAATGTTATGTAAGGTTAAACAGTCCTATACATGGAAAAGCTAATCTGAAATATCACAATAGCTGGGCATGGGTTAGGAGAGTGGAGGAAGATGCAAAGAAAGTGAGACCTGTTGGTTGAATAAAAGAGAGAGAAAAGTTCTTTGCTGGCTTTCTCCTGGATATAGGGCCTCTGCACAACTATTAAAAGTTGGCCACGCTTTCTTCTATCTAGTTTTTAATTGAAGGCTTGGAATAATAATGATTAATGCACTAATTGGGTCAAGAACATGCAAGCAGTTAGAGATAAATGAGAGATGTGTGACAGATCCAGTCACTATGCAGTATTGCCTGGCCTACATTCATATGAGTTACTGTGGCTACAGTCTCTCACCAGAAGCTACTGGAGGGCTGGACCTTACTATATTTCCATTATACTAATGCTAGTTGCTTGCCTTTGAAGTAATGTATCAGTAGTGAAATATCAGTGATGAATCTAGAGCTGGCTACTGCTTCTTGACTGAATGAACTGGGATCCTTGGAGTACTAGGGAGAGAGAGATGGAGCAGGCAGAAGTGACTAGGAGGTGGGAAGAGTGGACCTTCAGAGAAGACCTTGTTGAAGAGACACTCCCTGGAAAAGACAGGTAACAGTGAAGAATCCGCTACCAGTGAGATGCTCAGGCTAGAAATGCATTAAAGAGGAAATATTGGCTATGTCCATATTAACAAGGATGCTTTGACAAGAGCGGATCTGTGAAGTGAAACATGCTGAGGGCATCATGTCTGAACTATACAAGCTTTAGTTTTTTTTTTTTTTTTTTCCTTTGGTCTAGCGCTAGTCTTGCACCTTGGCCTGAATGCCCATTTATAGCTGTACATATCAGTAAAATACAGAAGTGTCCTAACTTTTTATCAGGAAGGTAGGAAAAGATGTGATCACGGTGATGTGATATATATTCATGTGGCAAGTTACAACTCGATATTAGAATATTCTTCACTATAGCAAAATACATTAAGAATTAGTAGATAGAAGTGGAAAATGAGCAAGGCAAATAAGGTACATAATTTCAACACAAACAATAATTAATCAGTTAACCAACAGTTGTGATGAAAACTCCACCGCTGCATGTTTTTAAAATCAGAACTAGATTTTTCCCTAAACACACAAATATGTCATGGGAAGTTATTTATGGAAGTCAAATAGCTTGTTTTTGCTGCGTTACAGACATCAGAGTTGGTGACGGCAGCGATTGCTCCTGGTCTTTGAACCCAGATGCTTATTAACCTGCTCCTGTGGCCAGCCAGGTCTCCCAAGAAGCAGCCCAAATGAGTTTTTTAGCCCAGTAAGGGACACCTCCGAGAGGCTAGCTCAAGCAAGTTAGTAGTGACTCACTTCATGACGAGTCAGGGTAGAAAACTTCCCATTTCTCCCTTGCACTGAAAAAAAGGAAGGATAATTTGGAGGAAAGCTGCAAAACTTCAAGTGTTTGGGTTGTGTGTAGCTAAGCAACTAGAACTCTGGAAAAAGATAATTAAGTGAGCTGCCTGTGCCTAAAAGGATGGTATTTTCACTGACAGCAGTGTTAGGAGAAAATGAAATACCTAAGAACTTGTTCTTTGACTGGTCTGGCGGAGACCCTCCCTTGGTTATCTTTGTTTAATAGTTTTAAGTGGAAAATCGTTCGGTTTTGGTTTCTGATTGGCTAATTCCAGTTTTTGCATTCCTATGTCCCTACAGTGCCACCAAAGCAGTTTCAGCACTAAAATTTTAATCTGCCTCCACTTGTCACTGCAAAATGTGAATAAAATAAATCATTTAAGCATGTTAGTAGCTGTTATTACGCTATCGTAGTTTACTTAGGAGTTTCAACTTATCAAAGAATGATGGGTTGCTATGGATGTTTTAATAAAAGACAAGAGTACCAAAGTAATGTAAAACACATTGCAAATGAGTTCAAAATTAAAGGCGCTTCATGTCCTATATTGGATTCCTACAGGTTTGCTTGTCTTCAGACTAATGGCTGATAATATGTGATGGGAATGTGGAAGTCAAACTGGTAGGTCAGGGTACTCCCAGATACCAGAAATCTATTGTTTCCTTTTTCCCTCCACTGCAAGACGGAGCTATATATATATATATATATATTTATGTATTATATATAATGTATGTGTATGTATGTATATGTATATATATACACACGCAAACATACACATATGCATGAATATATATGCACACACATAACATTTAAAAATTCTATATATATAAAGATTAAGCACATGTATTATGTTGCGTATAAATAAATATATATATTTACATCTATATCAATACAGTGGAAGGAGATCAGTTTACAGAAGGACGAGATGGCCTTGAATTGTAGATTGCACTCTGATGTTGCAGGATATTTCAACTGAACATCTTGGACCACCTTCTTTGGTGCAACGGGGCAGATTTGCGAGGGACAGGTAGCATTAACTGCTTTTAAAATCAGCTAAAAATTCCTCTTGCATCCTGGACTCTGGATTAATGTACAATTTTTGATGTGACTCTTGTGCTACAATACCCTCTAGACGACAAAACAATTCTTGTGAAAGTAGGACCTAGCAATGGAAATATCCAGGTATTTAGGATGGCCCTTGAGGAAAAAATCTTCTTCAAAATCTGCCTTCATATTTAGAAGAATTAAAATTGGGGTCCTACACCTTTTCTTCACAGGCTTATGCCTATATTCCTGAATTGGAAAAGGCAAATCAGTGAACACACAAGCTGTCTGTTATATACAGCTGAAGAAATGTGTGTGATTAGGCAGAATTTTCTACAAGAAGTTTAGATATATGACTGAAATATCCATGAGATCCCCAGAGAGGGATTGTGGGAATGAAGTGTATCGTAAACTAATAAAACAATCACTCCTTTAGAAAGCCAGAAGAAACTGTTAGTGATTCACTTATTCTGAGTCTGCTTTCCAGGCTGACATTTTCAGATATTTTCACTCCCAACAAATGTAACTTTGAACATTTTCAGCTAAGAAGGAATATTCTCTTTAAAAATGTTCTAAAACAATTCAAGTTGCAGTCAAGTATGTAAATAGAATATTTCTTCTTTATGGATTTATCAATATGCCTGTATAAGACCTTGCAGTCGTGGTCGTGGTCTATAATCGGATAGCTGGTGAGGCCCCATTTTATCTCCCTTTTACCAGTACATTCCTAACAAAGACGTTCTGTAGGATGTATAAACTTGGAAAAGTGAAGGGGAGAGAAGTCAGAGGGGCAGGTTCAGAATTCTATTTAACAAAATAAATTTCCCTCTTTGATAGGTCCAGACATATTTCAGGAACTCCCAATAGAAGTAAACCTGGATTAAAATCCTTAGGTATGTTAATTCAGAGAAGATCTGCAGCCAGTTAACTCTAGCTTATAAAGCAATCCTTTTTCTTGCATTTTCAGCCCTAAGAAGTCTTCTAGATCCAGGCTGTCGTTGGTTTGTGGAGTACGACCTATGCACATTCGTTTATAGCTGCTCAGTGTCTCAGCTTCCTAAGAAGTAGAATCTGTCCGTTTTTATACCATGGTGAGGTGATTAAGGAATTCTTCTGAGATGAGACTTCATTCTCAGGCTGAACACAGCCTTATCACACTGCTTGTGAGTGCTCTTACTATTAGAATATTACAAAAAGGATGTCACTATGAATTATTAAGTGTTTTTGCTATTTGTAACTTGTCTTCTTCAGGGTCCTTAAGTCCTGCAGCAAAATAAAACTTTAGATGTGAGGAAGAGTTGTCCTTCTTTTCAGAGCAAGCACCTCCTAGTATGTGTGGATAGTTAATTTAGGCCTCCAGGCTTTGAGGCTCGGTAGAGAATGGCGAAATGGGCATCTATTTACAATCTTGGAGAAAAGGAGGAATAGATTCCTAACTACAGATATGTTTTAAATACTTTAATTTCCAGCTGGGTTTATAAGACAGTTTCACCAGAGTAATCTCATATCTTTTGTTTATGCAATGATTTATTTTTATAATAAAGGGAAATGGTGCAGATTTCATTTGCCTTGGCATTGGTAAAGTATTTGATGCAGTAGCACATTGAAAATTGTAGGTTAAAATAGAGAGGACAGACTTTCAGTAAAGAATGATAAAGTAGGGGAAGAACTGGCTAAATGAGAGGAATTGTTATTCTTGAAGGTCAGATTGTAAAATAGATCTTATTTAGCATTGTTTATGACCTTGATGGGTGGGGAAAAAAAACCAAAACAGTGGTGAGCTGTTGCAATTTTTTGATGAAAAAAGCTGAGAGACATTGTCAATACAGAGGAAAATAAAAATATATTGGTGGAATGACCTTTCATAAATCACCCCATTCTGTACAGGATGTCTTGAAGTCTAGAACAACAGCGCATGAATTAAACTGAGTAATATAAAACATAGGTCCTATACTTTAGGCTAAACAATAACCTTAAGTGAAGAAGTCCTGGAATGAATGATAGGATTACCAGACATCAGCAGTGAGGGGTAGCTATTAAAAGATGAAGGCAGTCTTTAAACACATTAAGAAAGGTTTATCTGCATATGTGGAGGGGAATTGTCATGCAATGATGATGCTTCATCTACAATACTAAGTATAGTTCTGTTCACTTATAGTCAAGCTAGAAAAACTGCAGTAAAAAGCTATCCAAATAATAGGAGGAAGAGTGTATTGTTTCTACAAGATGACACAAAAAGACTGGCTTATTTAACTAAATGAAGACATAAAGGGGATATGATTGTTCTCATCAAATACGTTAGCTGCAGCACAAAAAGGTTTAAACTAAAGGACAGTTCTAGCTCAGGAATAAGTGGATGTTAAACTGGACAAGAATATATTTAAGTAAAGCAGCAGAACAGGCTTTATAGCCATCGTGAGAATGAAATTTTGAAACAGTATCCAATAAAAGTAACAGGCATAAGATTTGTTTTAAGGTGGAATTTGATAAGTTTATTAAATCATTTAAATAATGTAGTTGTCTGCAGGAAAAGAGGGTGACTCAGGATGTTCTGAGTTCCTAAATGAAATAAGATACAGCAGCGAGGGATATCACAGAAATATTTAAGATGGACTGATTGCTTATTTATCATTCTTCCTCCCTAATAGCCTTGAGCAGTGTTGTGAATTGACTGGCTGTAACACTTTATTTTTCAGGTGATACCTGATAATTGATGCTGATCACCAAGGCACATCCCGCATAGCTCTGCTGTTACTGTTGAAAGGTTTATCCGCTTTTTGCTGGTTCTACTTTGGTCGCATAAGTTTCCTTGAAACGTAAGCAGCGCTAGCAAACCATTCAAAGCAAAACATGTACCTATCTACTGTTTTGAGTATATCTAAGGATTTATGACTTTGTGTAGTCGCACTGGAATTTATTTCTTTTTCAGGAACTTGAGAACATAGAGTTATAAAAGATTTAATGGAGCCAGAAATATTGTTATTGCTTTCTACAGGAGTAAGTATATGCATTTTGCTATTTGCCTTCTTTTCTCATAATAACTACTCTAAATGAGAAATAAATACTGAAAGGCTGCCCAGCACTACCTCTCTAACACAAAGGAAAAGCATTTTAAAAATAGACCTATCCTTTGGACAAGTAAGGGAAGAAACACTCCGAATAACAAGGCGCTTTGGCTATTCAGTAGTTTGGTAAAAAGGAATCCATCACGGATTTGCCTGTAAGAATTTGGTCTTTTGTGGTAGAGGATAAAGGTATCCATTGGGTTCCACTAAATATAAGGAAAAAAGTCACTTTCCTAATATATTCTTGTGTAACAACGAGAGTAAAGGTTATAGTTTTTTGTAGGAAACATAGTCGGCAGTAACAACACATGTAATGAATATGTAAGTTTGAGAACCTAAAGATTTCACTGGCTGAAGTTCAAATATATTTCAAGTAACTCACTGATGCCTTTCACTGTGTTTAATCTCTGCTTTGCAAGAAGATTTCAGCAAGTGGGATTTAAAATCAATTGAACAGCACGCTTAGCACGTTAAACACATATACCATGTCAATTGACAGAGGGAATGTTTATAGCATTGCACCAGAAGTTTTAAGAGACCAAAATAAATAATAATAAAAAAAGAGAGAGAGAGGGGGAAAATGCTTTATGTAGAAGGAAATACTAAGCAGGGAAGGATATGATTTGAACACAGATTTTTCGACAAAAAGTAACAATAAACTGGAAAAAAGTCTTAAAGACTAATGAGATTCAGTTCTACGATGAAGGCAAAGGACTGTGCCTAAATGTAATCAGCTGCAAAATAACTGGAAGTTTTGTGCAAGACAAGTGAACAGCATAACACAGTTCTCACAGCTCAGCATTGAACTTGAAGCAGTTATGTTTATTCATTGATTTGTTTACTGCAACACCAAAATATTGAAGAGAAAACAGGTTATTGTAGTTTGTTACAGAAAAAGCCTCCACAGCCATCATTGAAAACTAAAACATTGCCTAAGCTTCCATGTGTTCATCAAATTTAGGCAAAAGAAAGCCCAAAAAGAAGCAGTAATAGTTAAGAGTAATGATGAGGAAAACTTGAGTTATCTAATACTTATTTTTTTAGGCATCAAGTGACCCTCTGAAGACTTTCTCATGACTTAGTGCCATGTCACACTGTTCTTTTATCCCATTCTAATCATCATTGAATAGGAAGCTATTTCCAACTCTTAAGGTGAAAATTCAGCTATAGATAAAGTTTCTAAACACAGAAACAGTTTAAGAGAGGAGACAATTTAACATCTATAATAGAAGAAGAAAATACTATATTTTTTTACATTCTATGAATAGAAAATCTTTCATTTGGAAGGCGCACTTTGTTCATGTGGAATACCTGGAAGGAGATTAGTGAAAGAAGAAAAAGGGAAGATAAAAAGAATAAAACACAAATCCCCCAGATTAACATAGAACCAAAGCAAGAAGCATAGTCCTATGAGCATGTGCACCATTCAAATTATGATGACAGCATGAAAGTGTGTGTAAGGCCTGAAAGAAACCCATGCAGATTTAGTGCAGATAAATTTGGGATAATGAGTTCAGATTCTGTACCTCTCAGTGGTACAAACACTGCTTAAAGACTGCTTAAACACTGCTCTCAAAACACTGCTTAAAGATCTAGAGGTATTTTTCTTGTTGGAAATTCTATGCAATATTTCAAAGAAAATCTTTCTGTAAAATGTTTCAGCCATCTACCAAGAAGGCATAGAACTGTCTTGCTCTGTGTTGGCCTACTGTGCAGTGGATTTATGGGCATTATTAGGCTGTGGTCTAATCAGATAGTATGTCACAAATATTGGATTTTTTCTCTAATGTAAGCATCAACCTGGTATCTGCTACTAGCCAGTCCCCTTCAGCCTGTATTCTGCATTCAGGTTGCTTAATTCATGAGTTCATTTAGAGGCATGGCTAATGTTTGCAAGGAGTTTGAGAAAGTTACCCCCTTAAAAAGGAAGCATGGTAGTTTGGGTGAAAAAAAATGAGAATACAGTTACTTTTGGAATGAAATACTGAAATTTTTTGAGAGTTGTTGGCTAGGTCTGGCAAAGGTTATTACTGTATATATTGTAGCAGGGCATTGCTAGCCATGGATGAATACTCTGTAGGGTAAACAGGAATTTTTAATTTCATGCATCATTTGTGACTGGTTACACTGATTTCACAAACTCAGAAAGTTGTTCATAAAAGCTAATGAGAGAGACTAAGTGCCTTCGTTTGTACTTCTTGAATGTTTCCAGTATTGGATCCTAAGTAGTAACTTCTATGTTTTTCTAAGAGTGAAGTAGTTCACTTTTGATTTATAAGAAGAAAGGATGAACTTTAACTCTCTTTGCTCAAAACTGTAGTACTGTTTAGGTACATTAGATCTGTAGGGTCTCTGTTTACGCTGACTTGATTTTCCTCTTTCACCTTCTGCTTCATCTTTTATTCAGTATTTTAGAAGTATGCTAATATTTCATTAGATGCTTGCTTTCTTTCCCCATTCACAATTTCTGTGTTTGCATTTACACATACGGTTGTGTTCTCTGATTTTCATAAAGTCTCTTCTCCACTCATAGTCACTAGCTAATAGTCTGTAATAAGACTTAGTTTTATAAATGTCAAATATTTTGTTCTTTATAGCTAGCAAACCACCTCTTCCTTCAGTGAACAAAAGTTCGAAGCTCAGTAAAACGAGAGGTAGCAGATGGGACAGGTTATATCCTATTGTGATGCAAAATATCTGTCAGCAAGTTACTGAGAAATCTGAACAGTGTGTCTTGAAATACAATGTCCTATAAGATACTCAAAATCATCCACTATCAGCAATGACCTCCATGTACACAGATGGTGCTCAGCACTTCATAAGGTCAGACAGTGCAGAATGTGTATGACAGGACTTTAATATAATTAGTGTCAATGATCATGGACTTCATTTTCTTATGACATACCAATATGTTACATATGCTTTGAAAAATCTATCAAAAAGAATTGGTAGCAGATAAATCACACTTATGAGGTTGGTATGTTCATTAACTGTTGTGTTTGTACCCATGCTGCTACATCTGCAGAATAAGTCCCAAATAATGACTAATGTTCTGCCTGACAAATCCACTGGCAGGAGAATGCACATTTATCTTTCCAAATAACATTTATTGTCTTGTGTTGCTTTCCTCCTCTTTGACTTTTTTTCCCTAACTAAAATACTAGCTTAACTCTAAGTGTTATTCACTGCATTTTAAAAAATGGATTGGCAGTACCTATTTAAGCATCTTGAAAACTAAAACATTTAATCTTCAGCATTAAGATAGGCAATTGGTATGGTGTTCATACTCATGAATTGTTCCCTAATAAGCCTTCAAAATCATTAAGTAAAAATTCTGTCTGTTTTAGGCTGGGTGGATACTGTCTTGTTTGTCTTCAATCTAAGATTCTTTGATTCTTCCCTTTTGAAGGCCCTACATGATCTTTAACGAGTGGCCCACTAAAAAAAGGAAACCTCTACAAATAATTTTTTTGCTAGGGAAACTACTTTTAAAAATACAAATAAGTTAATAAACCTCTTGCAGTAACCTGCAGTAAATGTTTCTTGCAAAGACAAGGAGGGCAAATAGAATAGTATCTGGTTGCTGTTATATTATAACCCTCTTGTAAGCAAAATATTATACATCTGAAAAAATAAGCTGAGTGGATGCAGTTTAATCACCTCTTAAAATGCTTGAAAAAATACTTTAAAATGGTAAAGCATAAGAATTTTATTTTAAAAGGAGAAAGATAAGAAACAAGTCAATGAAAATTTGTTCTGAGAAATCGGAGCATACAGGGACATGTTTTCAAAACAGCAACTGGCAGTTGAGAAAGAAATCGTATTATTGCTTAATAGGATTTTGGGGCAGAATTGCCATAAACTGACTGAACACTTACAGTAATTCTGGTTACAGCTGAGAAAAAAAGTTGGTAAAATATAATTTTTTTTAGTGAAAACCACATATGCCCCAGAAGAGAGATAGTCGATTCAATCTATCTCATTTTGCAATTCATTCAGGCATTCCTTCCTTAACCTACTTACTCTGAAGCTAAAATACTAAATTATGAGTTATTTTTAGCCCTACCAAGGGCTTAATCCTGCTCTTGGGGAAGCAAGTGGGACTTCTAAGTTCAGTGGGAAAGGAAGAAGAACACTAATAAATTGTAGAGGGGAAAGAAAGTAAATATATACATTCGTATTTTTCCTAAATCTGAAGGATAAGTCATAGTGGAGTCATAGTGGTATGATTTAAGCTTGTATTACATGATGGTCACCAGAGGGATTTTTCGTTCTGTGTCATACTCTTGTACTGAGTCTTCATCTTCACATCTTACTGTGGGTTTGCTATTTATTAGGGAGTATTATTTTGTTAATTTTACAGTACTTTGAAAATGCTAAGGCTTATTATTTTTTATCAGCAACTTGTTACTTGAGCAGCAAACTTAAAACAATAAATTTTGTCAGTGTTGGTTGGCTATTTTTAGGGAAAAAAGAAAAAGGGTTCCTAATTATTAGGGACTTGGGATGGCTCATGCTGCCATTTGAGAAAGGAACTCTGTAACTGTGTGTTTGATCTCTGTGATCCCGTCTCACTTGGGCAGCTGGTTTGACATCCTGAAACCCAGAGAAACATTCTTTATATCATAAGCAGAACAGGTCTCCCTCATACAGACCACTTTCAAGGAGAGACAGTAAGTCCTCAAGCACCCAGAGGGTGAAATGGATTCCCCAAATTACCTCTATGTTTTCCATTAGAGGTCTTTTGTTATTGCAAATTGAAACATTGACTGCTTCTGTGTAACTTTCACCACAGAAGCTAGTGTAAAGCTTCCAGGGAAATTAGTATGCGAAAATCAGGGACGAGGGTTTTCAAATATGACTGAGATGTTGCATGCTTTACCGTTTTGGGCCATAGCAAGAGCTCTACTTTTTTAATGCACAATGTCTTCA